CACGTGCCTGGCATTTTAAGCCACTGGGTTCGGGACTCGAACTGTGGTTGACTTCATGGGAGTCCAGCGACATAGCCATTACGCCAACTGCTGGTCCCGAGTTAGAAGCATTTATATTAAGATCAGGAAGAGTCCAGAGAAAGATATTGGGATTGTAGCGTAATAAAAGACGGGAGGCGTGGAGGCAGGTGAGGTAAGAGAAACGTGCAATGCCAGATCACGGAGCCTTGTTAGCCAGTGAGGAATTCGATCATGTTCTAAGCTAGAAAGAAAGTCTGAACAAGAGGAGCAGCATGAATGATACAGATGGGAGAAATAAAGTCTCTTAGTGATTCCAAAACCTGGTAATTCTCCAACCTCAGCACGTTTCCTGCTGCCTGTTCCTGCCAAAGCCTCCTCAGATTTAGTTTCTCAAAGGGGCTACATCTCCTCACGTGCGTCTCCTGGCACTCCTGGAGTCGGGCTCCGTTCCTCTCGCCCCGTGTTTCACAAGCTATTCTCCATGAGCAGAGAGGGTGCAGAGGAAAGAACACACACTCTAGCCTCGTACAGACCCTCCCAGCCAGCTGCTACCATAGACCTCAGGCAGGGGTAACCTGAACCCAGTTTCCTTCTCTATGAAACCTGGATAGTTAAATCTAACTTGCACATTGGTTGTAAGGAAGAAGTGAAATAATGAATATGTGACAGAATAATGCTTTCCTTTGTTCTTTCCTTGTGTTTAGGTTTGTGATACTAGGCAATAGCAGATGTCCCCTCCAAGATCCTTCCTCTTCTGGCTTTGAGTTCCCCAAAGTCTGGAGCATGCTTGATAGTAGGCCAGGCGTCCCAGACCCTGCACCAGGGAGGTGAGGGGGATGTCTTAGATAGGCCATCAGCAAGGCCAGAGGCGAAGTTCTCCCAAGCTGTGGGGGGGCGTAGAGGTCTGGGGGTCCTGAGAGGACCTTGCTCTCTTGCTGCACCTAAGACAGGTGGTGAGCCCTCAGGGAGAGGGGACGATGCCCTCAGGGGGAGGAGACGATACCCTCAGGGGGAGGGGACAATGGCTGTGTGCTCCATCTTTGCAGTCCTGCTTTCAGGCCCTAGGATCACTCCTCTCCAGAGATTCTCTTGCCCCAAGCCTGGTGCAGAAGCCGAGAGCTGCCACCCAGAAAGGACCATCCAGGTTAAGGACCTGGGCATGCTCAGAGCAACAATCCTGGACAGATGCAGGAACACAGAAGGGGCTGACAGTATGTGAGGGCACAGACCCCTCGAACAACCTCGAGAGAGAGAAGCCCCAGGGATGACTAGGATTGAATTCAAAACCATCCTCATGGAAGGTGTGAGCAACAAGTTTTGTCAGATTTAAGATTATTTAAAGAAATTTACTATTTCTTGTACTCTGTGCACTATTTTCTTGTTGTTTTTTTTTGACCAAGATTTAAGCATTTTTTTAATTTAATTTTTGAATTTTCAAAATTTCTTTTGCTGTAGGGCATGTGCACTCACCAGAAAGACAGAGAGACAGAAAAGGAGAAATCACCCCCCAAGGGGGATGGCCATGCTGCAGTCTCTTCTCCATTCTCCTCTCAGGATTTTGGGCATGCACACACATGTGCATGGCGTGAGTTTAAAGCTGCCGGGCCTGGGGCTTGAACTACATTCAACTATGGGAATCCAGCAACATAACTATGCCATCTGCTGGTCCCAAGGACCAAGATTCAAATTCATTACACAAGAACAACATTTACTGCAAGGCCTGACACATTGTCTGTGGTGTGTAGATAGTAGATAATGTTATTAAAACCAGCTACAGAGCAGTAGGAGTGGGCTGGATTTGAGGTAAATAAAATGATGCAAATGCAATCTTACAAATACATAACTATGCCATCTGCTGGTCCCAAGGACCAAGATTCAAATTCATTACACAAGAACAACATTTACTGCAAGGCCTGACACATTGTCTGTGGTGTGTAGATAGTAGATAATGTTATTAAAACCAGCTACAGAGCAGTAGGAGTGGGCTGGATTTGAGGTAAATAAAATGATGCAAATGGAATCTCACAAATATTCTTTTTTGGGGGAGAGGTTTTTGCTATAGGGCACGTGCGCTTGCCAGAAAGAGAAACAGAGAGACAGACAGAAAGAAATTTCTCTCTCACCACCCCCATGGGGGATGGCCACACCGCAATCCCTTCTCCTCTATTCTCCTCTTGGGATCTTGGACATGCACGCACACATGCCCAGCGTGAGTTTAAGCCACCGGGTCTGGGACTTGAACCGCAGTTGACTACATGGGAGTCCAGCGACATAGCCATTACGCTAACTGCTGGTCCCAGCATCTTACAAATATTCTAATGCCTGTTATGTTCCAGGCAATATGACAGATGTTGGAAATGAAAGGCATAGAGTTCCCTTGCCCTAGAGGAGCAATTGTTAGCAAGGGCAGACACACACAATTAACTCAGATACGTGGCAGAAGGTGGCATGTAGTGCAGTGAGACAGAGAGCAAAACAATGGGGCGGGGTTGGGAAGGCGGCACAGCAGTGACATTTAACCTGGACCTGAGTAGTTGTCAGAGGAAGTGGGTCTGGCACAGAGATAGTTTGTGCAAAGGCGGGGAGGGGTAAACATCAAAAATCTTATGTGTCTTAAGCATTGACCGTTTTCATGGGAGCTACTAGAAATAGGATTAAAACAGTACCTTAGGGACAGTTTGAGAAGAATCTCCACCTGAAGCTAATGGGGCACTTACAGAAATTGAAAACAGGAGGAAAGGGGGCCAGCAGGTGGTGCGGAGGTCAAGGCACTGGCTCCCACGTGGACGACTGAATACTATGAGTCTTCGCATGGTTCAAGTCTTAAAAATCAAGACAGGGCGCATGTGCAAGTGTCCCCAAAATCCCAAGAGGAGAATGGGGGAGAAGGGATTATGGTGTGTCCAAACCCTTGAAGGGATGATTTTCCCCTTTCCCTCGCTCTCTGTTGAGTGTACGTACCCTATAGGAAAAACTAAAAAGAAAAAAAAAAGGAAGAAGGAAAAAAGAAAATATTTTACAAGCTTCCAGAAGGGGGGAAAACACACACACAGAGCATAGACAAAGTTTCATGACTCCGAATACCATTTGGCTTGTCAACAATAACACTGGAAGCTAAGAGACTGGAGAAATGCCTTAAAATCTTAAAGGAAATGACCTGCAACCCTGAATTTCACACCCATACAAACTATCATTAAAGCATGAGAATAGAATAAATACATTGCTTCCAGAAGGGGGGAAAACACACACACAGAGCATAGACAAAGTTTCATGACTCCGAATACCATTTGGCTTGTCAACAATAACACTGGAAGCTAAGAGACTGGAGAAATGCCTTAAAATCTTAAAGGAAATGACCTGCAACCCTGAATTTCACACCCATACAAACTATCATTAAAGCATGAGAATAGAATAAATACATTTTCTAATGTGCAAAGCATAAAGATTTGTCCCATATGCACTCTT